TTTATTGACCTCAAATTATTTGTCGTATTTTTTTTTTATATATATAATTGTTAAAAAGATATTAATTAAGAGTTTTTTTATTGATAGTTTTATTTTTATTTATATTTTAAAATATAATCTCAATCTTTAAGAACAATTACTATTAAGGATAAATTAGAAAAAAATTAATTAATTTTGTCTTAAACTTCAATAAGTAATTTGAGATCATTATTTATAAAAATCGCGACAGATAATATGAGACGGAATACAAAAATAAACAACAAGGAAGCTTCATTGAAATCTATAAATTTTCAACTAATTGATGTAGAGCAAATTAAGGAAATCAATGAAGCCTTTTAGGTAAGCCACGTTCTTGATATTTGACTTGTTTAAGAATTTAAAGTGTTTTTTAATCATCTAATAGTTGAAATTTATTAATCAGACTAATTTAAATTTTCATCAAGTTTAGTAGACAATTAAGATGGTAAAACACACCTTATTAAGAGTGTTTTTTATTTCCAGATTCAAACCCTAAGTCTTTAATTAAGCCTGAAGAGATCCCAATCTTCATATCAACATATTGTAATAAAAATTCGGGTAACTAAGCATAGTGTATTGTTATTCTATTGTCGTAGATCAATTTAACTTGATGGTGTAAAATATTAATATATACATTGTTGGTGTAGATGAGTACTCGGTATCTATGCTGATGAGATGTGAGATGCATGTAAATTGATCCGGGATATAAAAATTATATTCTTTTATTTTTCAATTAAATAAAGAGAAAAAAAATGAGACAACCTAACATATATCACGGCTAATTTAGTGGCACAATGTAATGGCAATACATTTTTTTACTTTTTTTTAAAAAAATCTTATATTTAATTAATTTTAAAAAAAAATTCATTACTCTTTAAATAGGACCATATTCTTGATTTTTTTCTCTTCAATCTAATTGAGATTTTCATCTTCTTCTTTTTCACTAAGTTTTTGAACAAAAATGGCTTCCTTCTTTTCACTTTCTTTTATATTAATTTTCTCTTTATACAATTATAGCTTTGCTTATGCTAATACTGTTCCATATCTTGATGGTAAGTTCTACCTTTATATGAATTTTCTTATTTACTTTCTTGCGATGTTACATCGGATCGACTCTTTAAAAATATTAATGCACCTATATCAAATCCTCTTAAAATGTACTATGTTTTTGAGGTTTCGATAGACACATTCAATAATTTTTTGAATAGTTCGAGCAACATATCAGTTAGTAGTGTTTAGAAAAGTTCTTTTAATGTGTAATGAGGATGTTATTAGTATTTAGAGTCCTTTTGGTACTGTGGAAGGGGGTAGAGCTGAATATCGTTCGCCCGAAAATTATAGTGTAAATAGGTTAAATATAATTTTATATACATATATTCATTAAATATTGAGTATTCTTAATAAAATTTATATTTCAATCATTATTCTGCTAGTGATGTTGCCCGAACTTTTCAAAAATGTTGTCGCACCAATATTTGTTCCTATAAAACATGCATTACTTTTAAAGAATCTGACAAGTATTCGACGAGATTTTTTGAAGAGTTTGAACAACATAAGTCTAGAAGAGTAACAAGTTGACCAAGTTGAGGTTGTAGTCAACTTTTACACCTCAACCCAATAATTTTACATTTGAGTAATTTTGCATTGTATGCATGGATTTGACTGAGCTATCGGAAACATCCTCTCTATTCGCATGAGGTAGGGGTAAGGTCTATGTACACAATATCCTTCGAGACTCTACTTGTCGGATTATACTGGATATGTTGTCGTATATAATTAATCCCTTTCTAACATTTCACAGATCTACTAGAAAATGGAAGCTTTGAACAAGGGCCAAAACCATCAAACATGAATAAAACAGTTATCATAGGCAAACACTCCTTGCCCAAATGGGAAATCAATAACATAGTGGAGTGGGTGTCCGGTGGGCCCCAAGAAGGTGGATTCTACTTCCCGATCCCTCGTGGGGCCCACGCAGTCCGACTTGGGAATGAGGCTTCCATCTCTCAATATGTGAAGGTGAAACCAAACACAACATATTCACTCACATTTGGAGCCACCAGGACTTGTGCTCAAGATGAGGTCCTTACCGTCTCCGCGGGAGGCATGTCTAGTGATCTTAACATTCAAACATTGTACAGTGCTGATGGTGGTGACACTTATGCTTGGGGTTTCAAATCAACATCTGATCTTGTTAAGGTCACATTTCACAATCCTGGAACTCAAGAAGATCCAACATGTGGACCACTTATAGATCATGTTGCAATCAAGGAAATGCTTATGGCAACATATACTAAAGGTAAATTTCAATCCTACAATATTGTATGATCGTAAGACTGCGTACACATCACCTTCCCCAGACTCCACTTGTGAGATTATACGGGGTATGTTGTTGTATGACCATTTCTAAGGCAACAACTATTCAATATCAGTCCCCGTTACAGTCCACTGGGCTAAATTTTGTCTTTAAAAGTTGTCGGATGAACTTTCCTTTCCGTAGACAAATTTAGCCCAAATGGACTAACGGAGACAACATTTGTTACTACTATATATCATTTCTGTATTCTCCTTTTCAAACTTCTTGGAAGTGCTTTGTTTTAAGCTGAAGGTCTATCAGAAACAACCTCTCTATCTCTACGAGGTAGGGTAAGGTCTACATACCCTCTACCCTTACCAGACCCCAGTTGTGGGATTTCACTGTGTATATCGTTGTTGTTGTTGGCATACTTAAAATGAGATCCTTATAGAAATACCTTGTTCATGGAACATATGCAGGTAACTTGGTGAAAAATGGTGGATTTGAACTAGGTCCTCATGTATTCAAGAACTTTTCGACAGGGGTACTCGTCCTGCCTTTAAAACAGGACAAGTACTCACCAATTCCAGGATGGATGGTTCAGTTTGCAAAACCATCAAAATACATAGACTCGAAGCATTTCTTCGTGCCTTCAGGAAATGCAGCTGTTGAATTAATAGGAGGAAGGGAAACAGGCATTGCACAGACGGTACGTACAGTCCCAAAACAGTTCTACAACCTGACTTTCACCATAGGCGATGCACAGAACAATTGCCACGGAACAATGACAGTTCAAGCATTTGCTGGAAAGACTAGTACACAAGTTACCTTCGTATCGAATGGAAAAGGATGGTCCAAGACTGCAAGCTTCAAGTTCCAGGCTGATTCAATTAGAACAACAATAGCTTTCTACAATCCATACTATCACACGAAGATACACGATTTTGGACACATGTGTGGACCTGTCATCGATGATGTTAGTCTCGTTCATCTCCGTAAATAAACAGAATGAAGTGATCATACTCAGGACAGGTCAATATCAAGACAAGTTTAAACATGAATAGATTTTTCTCTCCAAATACGAATGATATATTCAATAAAAGTGTAAAATCACTCTCTTGTTTCCTTGTAGAAATGTATTCTCTTGATTCCAAACTCGATGATAGCATCAACTTTCCTGATCCTTCAGCAAATTAAATTTTGAAAATGAAACTAGAATCATGGTACTGATGAACTTGTTTGGTTAATTCATTACATCTAGTTAGCAGTCAGGACAAAATCTATTTTGTGAATCATTGATCGACTTTAAGATAGGAGTAACGTCTGCATACATCCTACCCTCCCCAGATCCCCACTCGTGGATTTACACTGGTATGTTGTTGTTGTGTTTATTGATCAACTTTAAGGCATTGACATTTCAAATCACATCCGAACAGCACCTAGAATAGCAGAATTTGTTTGTCTTATTTTTCTTTTTAGTCCGTTTCAAAAGAGTGTCCTTTTTTCTTTTTTAGCAATTCTTTGATTTCAACTTTCACCTGACATGTTTAAGACCAAACGATTAAAGGGCATTTTAGTACATTCTACATATCCTTTTAGTTTAAAATCACGAGATTCAGAACTCTTCTTTACTTTTCTTAAACTCCGTGCCAATCAAAACCAGACTATCAGATTGAAACGGAGGGAGTACAAGAATAAACTAAAGGAAACTTCACTGAATTCTACAATGTCAACTAATTTCAAGTGAAACAGAGGAAATTATGGTAACCAATGAAGACTTTAGGTAAGCCATGTTCTTGGTTTGTATTAAACTTGTTTAAGAATTGAAGTTACCTATACCTGACAGTGTATAATTTAAGTATAAGCCATGTTCATCGGGTCGGGTGCGTGTCAAATCTTTCAAAAGCAGTGCTTTTTTTAAGGATCCAACACAGGTGCAACAGGTCGGTGCAATTCAACTTAATATAGTATCTTCTAATTTTTCATTTTAAATTTGGTTTTGAAATGAAATAATTCAAGTTAAAATGATAGAGTAATAAAATAATAATAAACTGCCAGTACAGACAATATAAACTCAATTATTAATAAATGAGTGTCAGGTTTTTGCAATAAAATAAAGGGTAAAAATGAGACAACCTGACACATTTTCATGGCATATTAAGTGGTAGTACCATGCAATGTCTATAAATATCTTTTTTTTTAATCTTATCCTCACTACTCCTTCCGTTACAATTGTTTGTCTGATTTTGACTTGACATAAAATTCAAAAAATAAAGGGAAACTTTGAATCTCGTGGTCTTAAATGAAATATGTATGTAGTCCTTTAAATCTCATGGTCTTAAACTTACAATGTATAATATTGGAGTTGGAAAACTTACTAAATATAGTAAGAGACTCCCTCTGTTTCAATTCGTTTGTCTGGTTTTAACTTGACACTGTGTTCAAGAAATAAAGGAAAACTTTTGAATCTCGTGGTCTTAAATAAAACATGTATCTAGTCCTTTAAATTTCGTGGTCTTAAACTTACGATGTATAATGTTGGAGTTGGGAAACTTACTAAATATAACAAAAGACTAATTTTTTTTGGGACATGGAAGTAAGACAATTAAATTGAGACGGAGGGAGTAAATTTTATACTGTTTTACTTTTTTATTCTTTAAATAGGACATATTCCTGCCTTTTTCTCTTCAAATCTAGTTTAAATTTCTTTCTTTTCATCAAGATTTTTTGAACTAAAATGGCTTCTTCCATTTTCTCTCTTTCTTTTGTACTCATTTTCTCTTTGTACATCAGCTTAGCTTCTGCTGCAACTGCTCCAATTGTTCCATATCTTGATGGTAAGTTCTACTTCTTTTAGATGCTATAAAGATAAGTACTGCTTAAGTTTTTATGGATCTTGGAACCCTTCGGCAAAAAATTACACTGTATATAGAAGTAATTTTTCAATTTTTTTTTTATGGTTATAGATAGGTTTGGAATCTTCCGAACACAAGACTAGAGGTTGACTCAATAGTTTAGGGAGTTCAAAATTTACTTTGAGGTTTCGAGTTCAAATCCAGTATGCTACATTTTTATTTTTCGAATTGTCTTAGTGAAAATCCTGGATCCGCTACTTATGAAGACTACACTTGGAACTTTGGAGTAGCAAATCAACCAAGTTGAGGTTGTAGCCAACTTTTGGACTTTAGCTTGATAAGATAATTTGAGCATTTTTTTTTATTTGTATGCATTGATTTGATTGGCAAATACTCAGATTTGTTTGAATGTTATGTCAAATGTACTATAAACTGTGGTGTGATAATGACAGGTCTACTGGAAAATGGCGATTTCGAAGAAGGGCCAAAGCCATCAGAACTAAAGAAAACAGTGATCATTGGCAAATACTCCTTGCCTGAATGGGAAATCAGTGGTGTAGTGGAGTGGGTATCAGGTGGGCCCCAGGAAGGGGGGTTCTACTTCCCGATACCTCGTGGGGCCCACGCGATCCGACTTGGGAATGAGGCTTCCATCTCTCAGTATGTAGAGGTGAAGCCAAACACTGCATACTCACTCACATTTGGAGCCACTAGGACTTGTGCTCAAGATGAGGTCCTTACCGTCTCGGCTGGAGACACGTCTAGTGATCTTCCTATTCAGACATTGTACAGTGCTGATGGTGGTGACACTTATGCGTGGGCTTTCAAAACAACATCTAATTATGTTGAGGTCAAATTTCACAATCCTGGTATGCAAGAAGATCCAGCTTGTGGACCAATTCTAGACCATATTGCAATCAAGGAATTGCCTATGGCTACATATACTAAAGGTAAGCCTACAATACATTGATAATTTGTACCATATGGCCTTTTCTGAGAGTGGTCTCCCTAGAGATGGTTCAGGCATGTAAAGAGATGTGTGGATGCCCTTGTAAATAGGTACGAGAGGTTGGTCGTAGAGGGGTAGATGTAGGCCTAAGAATTACTGATGTGAGGTGGTTAGGTAGGACAATATGGAGCAGCTTCAGCTCACCGAGGATATGAGTGTGGAGGTCGAGGATTAGGATAGAAGGTTAGTAGGTAGTTGACTGCTTTGCTTTCTCATTCCCGGAGTATTCGTATTAGTCTTGTATTTTCGTATGCTTAGATTTCTATCTCTATTAGTTGATTCATTAACCTCGGTTATTGTATTTTCTTGTTGTTGTTCCTGCTTATTGCTAGTGTCGTCTTTTTCATCTCTTTTGTGCCGAGGGTCTGCCGGATTCTGCCTCTCTACCTTCTCAAGGTAGCGGTAAGGTTTGGTGTTGTTCTTGGCCTTTTCTGAGACTACTCTTTAAAGTATGTTCCCCTTAGTCCAGTGGGCTAAATTTCACCTTCAAACATAGTTGGATGAATTTTCCTTTCAGCAGACAAATTCAGCCCAGTAAGCTAATGGGGACAAAGTTTAAACAGTGGCCTCAACATAAGCAACAATAACATATCTAGTGTAATCCCACGAGTGAGATCTAGGGAGAGTAGAGTGTACGTAGACCTTATCCCTACCTTAAAAGGTAGACAGGTGGCCTCAAAAAAGGCGATTTGTGCAAACGCCGAAAATTCTTTCAGCAGAATGATGCATATTTAATAACTTTAAAAATCAGATCCTGATGCAATGCAACTTTTTCCTGGTCATGTATGCAGGTAACTTGGTGAAAAATGGTGGATTTGAAGCTGGTCCACACGTATTCAAGAACTTCTCGACAGGGGTGCTCGTCCTGCCTCTGAAACAAGACAAGTACTCACCAATTCCGGGATGGATGGTTCAGTTTGCAAAACCAGCAAAATATATCGACTCGAAGCATTTCTTAGTACCTTCAGGAAACGCAGCTATTGAATTAATAGGAGGAAGGGAAACAGGCATTGCACAGATAGTAAGGACAGTCCCCAAACAATTCTACAACCTGACTTTCATCATTGGCGATGCAAACAATGACTGCCATGGAACAATGACAGTTCAAGCATTCGCTGGCAAGGCCAGTACACAAGTTTCATTTGTATCAAGTGGAAAGGGATGGTACAAGACAGCAAGCCTCAAGTTCCGAGCAGATAAAACTAGGACAACAATAGCTTTTTATAATCCATTCTATCACACGAAGGTACATGACTTTGGTCACATGTGTGGACCTGTCATCGATGATGTTAGTCTCGTTCATGTCAAGAAGTGAGCATACTCAGATGAGATCAATTTCAAAACAAGTTCTGTACCATTGTTTTTATGTTTGTTTAAGTTGTTCAGTCCGAAACAAGAGTGATATATCCAATAAAAGTAGTAAAATCCCTTCATTATTTCCTTCTAGAAGTCACAAAGTGCCTAATCATGTATTTTCTTGGTTCCAAATCCGATGATATGAAATGAGCTTCAATGAAGAAGCGGAGATTACCCCAATTTGTTTGAGACTGAGGGTGTAGTTGTAGAAGCTCTCTTAGCAATGTTCTTATTTTAAAGCATAACACTACAATTCTTCTCCTTGCCTTGGAAGCAATTTGAAGTTACATCACAAATATAGCTTATTTTACCGTATAATAAAGTAGCACCAATCAAGACTGTGAAACAAGCAGATGGGAAGAAGAAGTAAAAAACTGGAAAATACACAGAAAATGAAACATGATATAACCAACCAAGGTATGAAAGAAGCAAAACTCAAGATCAGTCAGTTGATTTGCGCCTCAGAAATATGAGATGTCCTGCCTTGGCATTCTGAACTCAAGATCAGTCAGTTGTCGATCTTAAGTACCTTCAGGTTTGTGAGGCAACTCATCCCCTCGGGCAATGAAAATGATTTTCGGCACTTGGAAATTTCAAGTTTTTCAAGCGCAGTAAGATTTTCCAGCCACTTTGGCAATGCTGCAAAATTCAGGCACCTTTCCACCCTCAGGTATTGTAGAGTAGCACTAGCACCTTCAAGCCATCGTGGCAAAGTAACTAACTCTGGTAAACCAGCAAGTACCAACATCTGAAGGCTCCCAAGGCAGTGAACATCTTTTGACTCCAATTCAGGTAAGCCTCCGATAACCAATGACCGAAGCATCCTAAGTCCTTCAATATCTTGCCACTCCAACAATGTAAGCTCTTTACAGTCAACAATCAACAGATTCTCTAAAGTAGTAAGGTGTTTCATAGCACTTGGAAAAAAGGTCAGTCTTGGGCAACCGATGATTGCCAAAGTGCGAAGGTTAGTCAGATGTTGCAGACCTTCAGACAAAGATACGAGATTGTTGCAGCTGTGAATGTACAAAGAACAAAGAGATGATAAGCAGCCAATTGCTTTATCAGGAAAACATGCTTGCTTGGTGGTTATATATAAGTGTCGTAGGCTGATCAAATTTCCAATATCTTTAGGCAGCCCTTCAAGTTGTGGACAATGAGAAACTCGAAGTGTCTGTAAGCTCAGTAACTTGTTAATCGAATCAGGTAATTCTTTAATGCTTCCATTGGAGCTTACATCAAGATATCTTAAATACTTCAATTCGCCAACAGAGCTAGGCAGCTCATCGAAACATGAATCACTGATATCTAGCACCCTAAGTTGCATGAATCTTGCTATGCAATTCTCAACAAACATTGTACTCGTCGGCCCTAATCCATCAATGGAGAAGGATATGGTCCTTAATGCCTGGTTACTGACAAGGGATGTTGGCAGTTCCTTGCCTGACAAATCATAGTCAGAAAACGCCACATGTCTGACCTCATCAGAAATGTTTTGTATGTGAGAATTTACTGTACAGAATTCAACCCCTGCTGCTGACAGTGCAAGATCATGTACAAGGTCATGCATTGTACAGATTGAAGTATAAACGGAACGATATTCTTCAACGTCTTGAAAAAAAGATCTCGACAATAACTCTCGGAAATGTTGAATCGCAACGTGCTCAAGATCTTCTGATTCATTAGACTTACTAATGAGACCTTCTGCTACCCACAGCTGTATAAGTTTATCTATTTCAATCACACAGCCCTTGGGAAATATTGAGCAGTAAGCAAGACAAACTTTGAGATTAGATGTCAATTGCTCATAGCTCACTCTTAGGGCAGATGAAATTTCGCCATTCTGATTTGAGTTCCACCCACTGTGATTGTTAACTATACTCCACTCCCGTCTCTCAGTTTTCTTGCGCAATGTAGATCCTACAATCATTAAGAATAAGGGATTTCCCTGACATTTACGCACTATCATTCGCGCAATCCAAACGAGATTTGGATGGTCCACTTCTTGACCTTGTTCAAATGCCTTACTCAAGAACAAAGTAATACTATCTTCCTTTAACAAACCCTTCAAACAGTATGCAGGAACCGTCCCCATTATCAAAGCTACTTCCTTTTTCCGAGTAGTTACAAGTATCTTACTTCCACAAGCACCCACCATCAACAACTTCTTCAGTTCATCCCACTTCACTGGGTCCTCATTCCACACATCGTCTAACACAATCAAATAATTCTTTCCATACAAAGTCTGATGAACTAGATTCTTCAGTTCATTCATATCAAGTTTCTCACATAATAAATCTTCTCTAACTGAATTCACAATTTGTTCTAATACTTCCTCTACTTTAAACACGCGAGACACGTGAATCCACAAAAGCAGTTGAAAATGACTAACTATCTTTGGATCATTGTACACAAATTTTGCAAGAGTAGTTTTTCCAATGCCTCCAACTCCAACAATGGGATATACAAAAAGGGTTGCTTCATTTCCTGATTTTAAAAGTGCTTCGATAACGGTATCTCTATCAATGACCCTCCCCACAACACCAGAGTAATGTACAGATACACGAGTACGTGAACTGGCACTCCTTCCTTGTGGAGTAACCCAGATGGGAAAGGAGTCCAACTCAACAAGTTCAATCTTTTCTTCAAAATCTCCTATCTTATCCAATATCTTTATGAGCTTTCGAATTTCAAGACACATTCGATTTCTATAAGCAAAAGGGTTTAATCTACCGGAGAAAATTAAACCACGCACCTTTGATGATGTCGAACTAGGAAGCAATTGGTTTTTGAGAGACCAAATTTCATACTTGTCAATGACTCGTTCAGCATCATAACAAGCAAGCTTAAGCATCTCAGCTACCTCATGACTCAATGTAACATCTCTTTCTGTTTTTTCAACAAAAAGCTCTAGTTTTATGAGGTCAGAATGCATATTCATAGCCCTTGCAATGTTAACAACAGACTTCACTTTCACTAGAAGCATATCTAGTAGAACCTTTGCATCCTTGGTGATGGAAAGGAAAGTTGAAGATTCTAGAACAACATCCATAAAGAAAGGTTGGTTCTTTGGCAGAGGAAGTGAGAGAATGTGGTTTTCAACTTTGGGCCTAATTACCCCTTGTTGGTAGAATTATATGAAAAGAAAAATAAATAATTTTTACTTGTATATCCAATTGGTATATTATATTTTTACTAGCATTAAAATAAAATAAAAAATCTCTATAGTAAGTTATTAAATGATATTATATCCAAATATAAAATTAAGTATATTAAAATATTATTAAAAGATGAATTAAAATTATAAATACCAAATTTCCTAATAAGATATACAATCAATTATTGATTTATAACTTCCTTGCACATTAAATTTATAAATATATTTATAATTTCAATTATTTATTTATAAGAACTCTGTATGCATAATGTAAATTTTATCTACATTTGATATGCTTCGTTATATATATTATCTCATAGAAAGTGTAAGCATAAAAATTTCATGATATGTTGGGTGGTAGTGATTTATTTTAATATATAAATAGTTGTCATGCTTTATTTTTGAAAAGGTAAATCACATTAACTTTACTTAACATTTTAAGATATATTTTTATCTCATATTAATATGAAATGACTTTATAGTACTTTTTGTGTAATGAATATCTAAATTGTATTTTTAATACTCAATTAATTTAATTAAATTTAGCTTTAAAAATTAATAAAATTGAAAAAAAACAACAAAGTTTAGTGTAATGCTAGTGGTACTTTTTACCACATCGGTGGAAGACACATGATCTTTAGCATTTATAATGCTATTAGTTAGACAATTGGTAGAATAGAGTAATTACATATAGGTTGGGTAATGGGGGTAGTGGGCTTGGATTAAGTTGAGTGGACTAGGATTATGTTAGTACAATTAAGTATGTGCCTATGTGTATGTGTATGGGGTGTCCTTAACGGGTTTGGATTAGTAATGCACTTAAGGGGTCGTTTGGTAGGTAGAGTGTATAAGAATTATTAGAGTTGTATTAATAATGCATGTATTAGTTATGCTTGCATTAATTATATATAGATTATTTTAATGCATTTTCATTTGGTTGAGTGTATAAGAATAACTCTAAATATAGTTGTATTAATAATGTTTGCATTAGTAATGCACATAAGGATTATGTTAGTCAATTAAGTATGTGCCTATGTGTATGGTAGAGTTGTATTAATAATGTTTTCATTAGTAATGTTGGGGTGTCCTTAAGGGGTCGTTTGGTAGAGTTGTATTAATAATGCATGTATTAGTTATGCTTGCATTAATTATACATAGATTATTTTAATGCATTGTTTGGTTTGATGCATTAAAAATAGTATGTAATGCATTAAAAAATTATTTACAAAGATACCCTCCACTTTCATGGTGGAAAAGATGTAAAAAAGGTTTTGAGGGACAATTGGATCTTTTATCATTTTAATGCATGCATTATAACCATTGCATTGCTAATGCCTAGAAATCCATTGTATTAGCAATGCACACATTAATACACAATAGAGTGTTAGTTATACATATGCATTAGTTATACATAGGTTGAAAAAAAGTACCAAACAAGGTACTAGTAATATACAAGGCTAATACATGCATTATTTTTTCTAATACGCTCTACCAAATGACCCCTTAATGTATGGGGTTCAAGAACAAAATAATTAATTAGGAGAGATACTAATTATTAATTAATATTGTCTAGAAAAATTCTTTTTTGTTAATTTTTACAAAAAAAAAGGGTATATTTTTTTGCAAGAAAATTCCCAAGCAATTTACCTGCGAAATATAAATCCCTAGGTAAATTACTTGGGAATTTTAAAATTCGCAGAAAAGAATTACCTAGGAAGGTTTTACCATCGAATTTTATTTGGTAGGAAAATCCGCAGGAAAATTAGTTTCTTGCGAATTTTCATATGTAATCCCTAGAAAATCCCTATGTAATCCACATTTTTCTTGTAGTGCAACTTAGTGGGCCTACTAGGTACAAAGTTGTATTAGTCGAGCCAAGCAGACATATTGTGGTTGGCTGTATGAAATGTTACACATTATACATACAAGCTACCAAGTGAGGATGAGAAATAGTTCGAGCATGTAAGGAGATGTGTGGATGCCCCAATAAAGAGGTGCCAGAGGTTGGCCATAAAGGGGTAGAAATAGGTCTAAAGAGTATTGAGGTGAGGTGATCGGTGATTAGGCAGGACATGACACGGGTTCAGCTCACCTAGATATGAGTGTGGAGGTCGTTTAGGATAGAAGATTGGTAGGTAGAGATAGTTGAGTGCTTTGCTTTCCCATTCCCGGAATGAAATGTTACACATTTTACACACAAGCTACCAAGCTCTCTTAGAAATGTTCTCTTTAAGGCATAACACTACAATTCTTCTCCTCAATTTGAAGTTACACCAGAGATATAGCTTATTTTACCATAAAATGAAGTAGCTAGAGTGCCACTTGACAGTCAAGACAAGAACAATTTGTATACATAACACAATCAAGACTATGAAACAAGAAGGAAAAAAAAATCTGAGTAAACTGGAAAATACATAGAAAAATAAATTTAAATTTTTTGACACGCCCATTTTGGTTTTTCCTCAAATAAATGATGAGACAAAGGATGATGTTGTTTTTCCCTTAATTAGAGGTCTCGAGTTCAAGCATTGTGTATGAAAAATTTTTAATATGCAATATATCTCTCCGGATAAAGCCTACACAATGCAAATCTGAAATAATCAAATTTTAATGCAGATATCGAATGCAAAATAAAATATCAAAAAATAAATATTATACTAGAATAAAATTATATTAAGGGATCGTTTGGTTTGAAAATGAGTTATGATGGGATAAATTATGTTAGGATAAGTTATGTTGGGATTAGTTATGATGGGATAAGTTGTGTTGGGATTATTTTTTATTGAGTGTTTGGTTTGTTGTATTCAAAATAATAAATTTTAAGAACAATTTATTTGTTTACAAAAATGTCCTTCATTAATGTAAAAAGTGATATAACAAAAGGGTTGAAAGAGACATTTTTGTCATTTACCTATTTTATCCCGGGATTACTATACCACCCCAAGAGAGGGATAACTTATCCCGGTATTAATTATTAATCCCGGGATAAGTTATCCCGAACTTGCCAACCAAACAACAAAATAAGCGGTACTATAATTTAATTCCGGGACTATTTGGTATTATCCCTCACACCAAACGACCCTTAAGAGTCAACTACAAGAGTAGTATGCAAGGAACAACTACCGACTAACCCTCAACCATATTCCGTGCCTCCATAACATCCTATCTACATTAGAAAAGAAAAAAGACAATTTGTGGGTCATAGTTTTCTTGGTGGAAAAAGATGACAACCTTACAAACTAGAAGTTTCTTTGCATCAACAAAATGGAAAAAAAAAAAAAAAAAAAGAGACTTTTCTTTAGGGAAATGAAATTAATGGGAAATTTGTGCCCAAGGCATATGAGACCCACATTCCACTTCCTTTCATTTTCTTTTCTCATCCATTTTTAACCTCTTTTTTTTTTTTACTTGTTAATTCCTAACATAATTTTATTTTTGTATGATATTTATTATTTTATTTTTAATTTTGCATCCGAATCTGCATTAAAATTATACTATTTCAGATTTGTATTGTATAGGACTTTGTTCAGAGAGATATACTGCCTATCAAGAATTTTTCATACTCAAAGTTTGAACTCAAAATGCCTAGTTAAGCGAAACAATTTTTTTTTTTACAAGAGTAATATGCAAGGGACAACTACCGACTAACCCTCTACCATTATCCGTGCCTCCATAACATCCTATCTACATAAGAAAAGAAAAAAGACATAGTTTGTGGGTCATAGTTTTCTTGGTGGAAAAAGATGACAACCTTACAAACTAGGAAGTTTCTTTGCATCAACAAAATGGAAAAAAAAAAAGAAGAGACTTTTCTTTAGGGAAATGAAATTAATGGAAAATTTGTGTATATGAGACCCACATTCCACTTCCTTTCATTTTCTTTTCTCATTGTTTTTTTCTTTCTCCTCACAACTCTTTGTTGCATTTTTTTTTCTACTTGTTAATTCCTAATATAGTTTTATTTTTGTATGATATTTATTATTGAATTTTTTATTTTGCATTCGAATCTGCATTAAAATTAGACTATTTCAGATTTATATTGTATAGGGCTTTGTTCAGAGAGATATACTGCCTATCAAGAATTTTTCATACTTAAAGCTTGAACTCAAAACCTCTAGCTAAGCGAGACATCCTCTGCCCCATCATTTATTTGAGGAAAAACCAAAGTGGGTAGGTCAAAAAATTTAAATTTAGTTTCTAAATTAAACAATTGATAATCAGTCAGTCTCGTGATATGATGAGATGGTTGATTCCTCTACTCTTAACTAGACGTTTCGAGTTTGAGCTAGAACCTTTCAGCTTAAACATACCCCTCTTAACGGCCCACCAGAGGCGACTTTGAATTGGTCGACCAGTGAGTTTAGAATACATATATACATGCTGCTTAAACAAAAAAAAAGAAATTGCTTTGAATTTGAAAAGACATAACATGATGTGATCTTCACTCTTCAGTAGGTCCTTCTGAGCTGTGATCTCTGAACTTACATGTGATGTGGGGACATCCATCATAGATTGGACACATTCATCTCACCTACAATAGAAGTTGATGAGTTAGGTTTAGAAGTCGATTCTTCGATTCGATTTTTTGGTATTCAATTTTAGAAAAGTGTGCACCATATTTCATACCAAACTAGATCAATTCGATTTGGTTTTTTCTACTTCGATTCGGTTTAGTTTGGTGTTTTTAAATTGATTTTTCAATGTGAATAAAACTAAAGAGGGAATATGATAAAGTGTTAAGAATTTCATGTGTTTAATTTTTAATTAAGAAGACGTAGTATAGATGATTCTTTAACTAGAAAATTCAAATTTTGTTTCTGTTTCTAGCAAAGATGCCAAAAGATTTGTTAATTAGATGGATTATTTATCCTCCCATGTTGCTACAGAGATGACCAAACTCAGCAAACATATGCAGATAAATGGTAAAGAGCACACAACAATTATCTTTACTCACAAAACAAGGTCTTCAAAGACTTGTCCACACATTTTTTTTAAAAAAAAAACACAACACCAGGTAAATATTTTGAGTCAAAATATATAAGTATTATTAAGTAATATAATTTAAATTTTTTAAAATTTATTTAATAAAACTTCGGTTCTTCGGAGCACCGTAGTTTCGGGACCCTTACACCTAACTCCGAACTCCAAACCGAAGTTTCGAAAATAAAGAACCAAAACACCGAAGAACCAAAATAGTTCAGTTCGGTTGGGTTTTTCGGTTTTCCAGTATTTATGCCCACCCCTAGTCAGGTTGCATTGAAATCAAAAGGACTTACATAACTCGAAACGAAAGACAAAAACAATCCTAGATAGAATTATCAGTCGAGGCATCGAGGGACCGGAGATGTGGTGGTTAACGCTGCAGTGATTTTCAGCTATTCGTGAATGCAGATTCCACATTTAACATATAAGTTGTTTTAAGTATCCAACTTTGTGGCAAAAGTAAGATGCTGCAAATATACATGAACATATAAAAGAAGGCTCTTGATTACCTAGTTATATATTGTGATATCATTAAGATGAATTTCCTGGATGTGAGCAATCTTTGTCCAATCCTCTCCAGCATCCTTTTCGCATCGTCTAGTTAATTCAGGACATTTCTGAATTTTCAACATCCTCAATGTAGTAAGACAACTCATGCTATCCGGGAGAGATGAAAATTTCGGGCACCCTGTTATCTCAAGCTTCTCGAGGGACGTGGAGTTTTCCAGCCAATCAGGCATTGCAATGAAGCTTGGACATGTTGAGATGCGAATGAACTTTAGACTATTAGAATCCCCTTTCAACCACTCTGGCAAAGACACCAAATGTGGAAGTCCTCCGATTACAAGTGACCGGATTCTCTTTAGACCCTCAAAATCTGGCCAGTCAGACAACATAAGCTCTTCACAGTTGACAATCATAAAGTTCTCTAAGGCTGGCAAGTGAACTATGCCTCTTGGCAAAGCAGTCAACCTCGGACAATCACCGATAACCAGAGTCCTAAGTTTCGTGAGCTTCTGTATTCCTTCGAATAGGGATACAAGATTTTCACATCCGAATATGGACAGGGATTGAAGAACTGCCAAGGACCCCAATCCTTTCTCCGGTAAATTCTGCTCTTTGGTTGTCAAGTACAGATGTCTTAGACTGACCAAATTTCCCAGCTCCCTTGGCAATTTCTGAAGTTTCATGCAAAGAACAATCCGTAAAGTTTGCAGATTAGGCAACTTGCAGATGTTTGAGGGAAGCATTTGGATGTTATTGTTGCCACTAAAATCAATGTACCTTAGATGCTTCATGTTTCCAATAGAATCTGGCAGCATCTCAAGACTTGAATGGCGTAAATCTAACACCCTCAAGTACTTGAATTTTGAAATGCATTGACCAACCCAAAGAGCAGCATATCTTTCAAATCCTTCAGACGGAGCAAAAATGGTCCGAATTCTCTTCTGTTTACATAAAATTCCAGGAATGCTTTCCTCTGAAGGACTATAACTGAAAAGTGTTACATGACGAACCTTTTCAGTTATACTATCAGTGTTGTTTTTTATGACACAACAATCAGTTTGTGCAACAAATACTGCAAGGTCATGCAAAAGATCATGCATTTTAATACTTATGAACGAGTCATACGCTTCAACCTCTTCGAAAAGAGATCTCGAGCACAACTCTTTCACATAGTGGACACCAACATCTTCCAACTCTTGGCTTTCGTTAGACGAATGTATTAGCCCTTGAGCCGACCACAACTGAATCAGCATACTGCTCGCGATTTCTTGACCCTTGGGAAATATTGAGCAGTAAGCAAAGCATGGCTTCAAGTAATATGGCAACTGATTATAGCTTAACCTTAGTGCAGGTAAGATATCATCACCTTCCTGATTTAGTTGCCATATCTCATCGTCTCTCACTTTTAACCATTCCCTTTCATCTGTTGTCGCATACAGCATGCCTCCGAGAGTCTTTACTGCCAAAGGCACTCCTTTACATTTCTTCACAATATCTTCTCCAATTTTAGTAAGGTTCGGAAAATGCCTCTCTTGTCCGTTCCTAAACGCCCATTTTAGAAACAAAGAGAGGCAATCCTCATGTGGAAGCTCCTTCAAGTTATAAGTAACGACAGATTCCATCATCGAGGCAATATAATCACTACGAGTAGTTACAACGACCTTGCTTCCACACTCTCCAACCATCAACAAACTTCTCAATTCCAACCACTTGGAACGATCCCGACTCCAAACATCATCAATGATGAGTAAAAACCTCTTCCCCCTCAAAGCATCTTGAAGCGAAGCATGGACTTGTTCAACATTAAAGTTATCACAAGAGGCACCACTCGCCAAATTAACAACGATGTTTCTAGACAATTTTGCAACGTCGAAATCCTGTGAGGCACATAACCAAATCCTCACAGGAAAGTTCTTAACTATCCTCTCATCTATATACACTAATTTAGCAAGTGTGGTTTTCCCCATACCTCCAATCCCAACAATTGATACCACAGAGAGACGACTCTGATCATCAACAACACCCTTTTGCATTAGAACTTCAATAACCTCTTCACTCTCATTCCTCCTTCCAACAACATCAGAAGGAAGAATAAATGAATATGTCAAATCCCTTTTATTCATTTCTAAGGCAATAGTTCTCTCAGATAAGTGGAATTTAGCTTTATCGGCTGCAATACTATCTAATCTCTCCCTTATTTCTTTCACTTTATAACCCATTCTATACCTAAAAAGAAGAAACTTAAAGGGTGAGAATAAAAAACAAACCTTTGGTTTCAACCTTTGACTCTGTTGTACATGAGTCTGAATTTCATCAAGAAAATCATCAGCATCATAAAGAACATCTTTGAGTTCTTTAAGCCAATTGGTCAACTCATGATTCTTGGATTGTTGATCCTCAGCATCCAACAGTACATCTCTGATGGTGACTAAGGTCTTCTTGAGTTTTTTGAGCTCATTTTTAACACCCCAAATCAAGTAAAACTCTTGAAGAGCATGAGATCCTAATTTACCTAAGATGGAGTTTGCAATGTTGAAGAGAAAAGATGCTGCCATGTCTTTCAAAAGAAGGAAAATTTTGACAGTATGGAGAAATGCTGGAGAGAGGCACTATGTTGTCTCTATGACTTTGTAACAACTCAATAGTAAGAATAATCAACCTTATCCCAACCTGAGGAAGAGCAATTGTTTTTGAAAGAGTCTCAGCTCGAGCAACGCAAAGAAAAATACAAAAATAAAGAGGACATAGAAAAGCATAACAAAAATGCCCTTACAATAGGTGATTCTCCACACTAATATGTACACAAATTGTTTAATTTAACATACATAAGATACATTTAAAATTTGTCTTGAAAAATCAGTTATATGCTCTAACTTTGTTGGACGTCTTCTTAACCCCATATTCTCGTTCAAAGTGAAATTACTATTTTCCGTTGGTTCTACTCTCTTTGTACATCTTTACTTATTCATGTTTGACTAGACATACCTTTAAATAATAATAAATAAAATGATAATTTTACTGCATCACCCTTATTAATTACTCCCTCCGTTCACAAAGAATGATCTAGTTTGACTTGGCACTGAGTTTAAGAAAATAAAGATGACTTTTGAATCTTGTGATCCTAAATTAAAGTTATGTCAAATGTACAAAATTGCCCTTTAATCTTGTGGCCTTAAATATGTCACGTGGAAAGTTGAAATTAAAATGTTACCAAAAAAAGAAAGAGGTCATTCTTTTTTAAACTGACTAAAAAGGAAAGGAGATCATTCTTTTTGAAACGGAGGGAGTATAAGTCATGTAAATGTTGGAAAATGAATAATATTAAATAAATAAGAGTAAAATAGATATAAAATAGCAAATTATCCTTTGATTTTTAAACTGAACAATTAAAAGTGGACGGAGGGAGTGTTCCGTTTTCATCTTTTTCTACCCCACATATTTGGCTGTCAAATGTATATAGACCTACATTCCACTTTCATTTCATTTCCTTTTCTCATCAATTTTAACTTTTTTTTCTACTGTTTCTTTTTTCCTTTCAACTCTTTCTTGTTAGCTCTTAATATAATTTTATTTTTTGATATTTTATTTTGCATTTGATATTTGCATTAAAATTTGATTATTTCAAATTTGCATTGTGTAGGTTTTATCCGGAGAGATATACTGCCTATCAAGAATTTTTCATACACAATGCTTGAACTCGAGACCTCTAATTAAGGGAAAAATAACATTATCCTTTGCCTAATCATTTATTTGAGAAAAAACCAAAGTGGGTGTGTCAAAAAATTTAAATTTATTTTTCTATATATTTTCCAGTTTACTCAGATTATTTTTCCTTCTTGTTTCATAGTCTTGATTGTGTTATGTATACAAATTGTTCTTATCTTGACTGTCAAGTGGTACTCTAGCTACTTCATTTTATGGTAAAAATAAGCTATATCTCTGATGTAACTTCAAATTGAGGAGAAGAATTGTAGTGTTATGCCTCAAAGAGCACATTTCTAAGAGAGCTTGGTAGCTTGTGTGTAAAATGTGTAACATTTCATTCCGGGAATGGGAAAGCAAAGCACTCAACTACCCACTAACCTTCTATCATAAACAATTTCCACACTCATATCTAGGTGAGCTGAAGTCATGCCATGTCCCGCCTAATCACCGATCATCTCACCTCAATACTCTTTAGACCTACGTACCTCTACCCCTTTATGGCCAACCTCTCGCACCTCTTTACCGGGACATCCACACATCTCCTTACATGCTCGAACCATCTCAGCCTCACTTGATAGCTTGTATGTAAAATGTGTAACATATCATATAGCCAACCATAGGGCTGCTTGACTCGACTAATACAACTTTATGCCTAGTAGGCGAACTAGGTTTGTAAAGCATGACAGAGGTGCACACATCGATTAATTTGGAACTACTATCTAAGCCATATCCACAATGCATAAATGAAAATGAAAAATAAGGATCATGGGAAAAACTTACTCGCACTCGGTAGACGAACGCATAAAATAACAATTCAACATATGCGTCAGAGCGATTAAAAGGAGAGCGTCCATTTCACCGAGACAAACAACCCATTTATGATCAGGGTCCCCTAGCTGACATAAAGTTTCAATATAAAAATCAATCGCCTCGTCTTAAACACTCGTGCATGAGTAAATTTGTATTAAAGAAAAATTTTAATATAGCTTGTAGGTGAAAAAGAGAAGAAAAAAAAACTCAAGTAATGTAATAACACAGAAATTGAGTCGACTACTTGACTTTTGGGTTTCACAGAATAGTATATTCACAGGTTGTGTTTTGGTATGAAAAGAAGTGTTCCACTGCCAATATATACGACTATCTAGTTTATGAAATATGACTGAAATATACCATATATATACACACAGTTATTATATATTATGTATATGTTTTGTATATACTATTTATATACGGTATATGCAAACTAAATAACCCAAAAGATATTGAGCTATAATTTTGCAAAATATATAAGTAAATCTAGAAAATGTTTTCAAATTTTTGTTTTGTCATGTATTCATTTTATCCTAATTTAAGTGGCACATTATATATATACTAGATATGGGACCCCGTGCCAGCACGGGGCCCAATATATGTTACTGTTTCTGTTTCAATTTATGTGGTACATATGAAATTTGAAGTTTATCAATTTTTTAGTATGTTTTTATATATTTTATCATGCACAAAAATATGTTTTTATAGCTCGAACAATAACCTGCTAAGCACATAACATTAACTTTACTAGTTACGCTAACGCTGACCTTAGTAATTGATAGAAATAATTGTGGAAGTTCTTTTTGAAATTTCTTTGAAAAGCTTTGACATTGAGAATAGTATAACAACGAAAATGTCAAAGATTCATTTAACGTACGATTGGTTCAAGGGTTACCATTCCAAATTAGTAGTACAAAATTTTGATGGAAAATACAAATGGACAGATTAATAGTTAAATTTTCGTTAGGTATTGACTAGGAAACTTACTTAGTATTAATTAATCATTTATTACTTATTCCACAAGATATTACGTAGTGTAGCTTCATTTTCATGACTCAAGCATGACCTTCATTGGATTAAATTATAACCGGACTCCAAAAGTTTATCAAAACAGGCCAAAAGGATAAAAGTTTATCTTCAAAATGGTTATTTTTTATAATTAAGAAAAACTGCACTTTAGTGTGGAAATGACAGGTCATGGTATAGAAATTAGAATATGGTCATATTGACCTTTTTATATTCACCTTTTTAGTACTATAGTTTCTTGATGTTTTACCTAAAGACTAAAGTGAGTTTTTTTTATTTTTTTATTTTTTATGGGAGCTTTTTCCTTGGGAATTACTTTTTTTATTTTAATCTGTTTTATATCTCTTAATTTGAATTAGTACGTATAAAAGTTCCATGTAATTGCTCAGGTAACTCTACAAACTACAAGTGACATCTGGATAAAAAAGAAGTGTTTTTTATGAAAAGAAGTGTTCCACTGCCAATATATACGACTATCTAATTTACGAAATATGACTGAAATATACCATATATATACACACAGTTATTATATATTATGTATATGTTTTGTATATACTATTTATATACGGTATATGCAAACTAAATAACCCAAAAGATATTGAGCTATAATTTTGCAAAATATATAAGTAAATCTAGAAAATGTTTTCAAATTTTTGTTTTGTCATATATTCATTTTATCCTAATTTAAGTGGCACATTATATATATATATATATTGTCATAAATAGAATATCACTTTTTCATATTAAAAAACCATTTAACATTAATTTTCTCTCTCTTAACTATATGATTAATGGCTACACAGCGTTTCGACTCTTGTTTTAAATTTTAAATTTAAAAAAAATTACTTCCTTTTAAAAATTTCATACCCGATATTACACTGCAACATAAATTCAGACCAACATAATAATTATTCTAAAATCATATATTGTTAATCTACATTTATTCCACGTATATAATACATAAATTCCCGCATAATTACGGAAAAAGTGAAAAATTCAAAACCATATATTATAAATGAACTATACTATGTTTTTATGTGGAAAAGTCGAACAAAGATAAAATATTACTCCATATGAAAACATTGTTGAATTTCGAACCACAAGAAAATGGCAAACCGGAAAGTACTATGAAATATAACAAATGTACAACTAAGAGTAGCAGCCTCCCTTCCTATTGACTCTATATATATTAAGGTCATTCATCTAAGGTTTTTTTCGCAAAATCAGAATTTGAGGTTTTTCAAGAACAAATGGCAGTTGGTAAAAAGGAAGAAAATATGGCAGTAGCGATAGTGAAGCCTCGAATTGATAAAAGGGATTACAGAAGAATTGTTCTTCAAAATAATCTTGAAATCCTTCTCATCAGTGACCCAGAAACTGATAAAGTTTGTAACTTTTATTGATTTATGTTGTATTTTTATGTGTTTTTTGAGTTCTTTTTATGTGGGGTTGGTTTAAATTGTTTGGTTTTGCTAAAAATGAATCAATCTCATGTTTTTTGTTTTGGGTATTTGAAGAAATGGGAAAGTAATTTTTATTGATTTGTTTTGTATTTTTATGTGTTTTTTGAGTTCTTTTTATGTGGGGTTGCTTTAATTTATTTGGTTTTGCTAAAAATGAATCAATCTCATGCTTGTTTGTTTTGGGTGTTTGAAGAAACTGATTTGGTTTGTTGCTTTTATGTTTTTCCATGTTTTTTGGAATTGATTTTATATGGGTTTACCTTGAATTATTTGGTTTCATTAGAAGTGAAATAATTCTATCATTTTTTGTTTGTTTTTGTGGGTACGTGTATCAGTGTGCAGCTTCAATGAATGTGTGTGTTGGTGCTTTTAGTGATCCTGAGGGACTTGAAGGCCTTGCCCATTTTCTTGGTATGATTTCTTTGTTGCAAAACAGGTTCATTCTTTATGTGGCTTCATTGAGTCTCTTGTTTTGCCTTATATTTATCCTTAATTTTGAGTCAAAAGAGTAGTTTTACTGTACTGTGACAGCAGGGGGTTGCCGTTCTGGG